ACACACACACACACACACACACACACACACACACACACGTAAATACATAGTAAGTACAGACTACTGAGTCTGTTCTTGTTGTTTGTGTGCATATATTTTCAGAGACTACTTTATACTAGATAACCAGTTAGGGGGGGAAACCCTGGGAAAGGCTAGTTCTCCCTTTCTCAGCAGTCATTAATTACCTTTGGTTCTTTGCCTAGGTGTTGGAACTAGTAAGTTGTTTTTGTTGTTGTTGTTTTGTTTTTCCTTCTGAATCTATTGATAGTGTCATTATCCAGGTCTTGTTAAAGCAGCCATTTCTAAGAGATACAAACTTACACACTTTACAGTCCTCTGCATCTTAAAGTCTACCGCCGCCCCCACCAGAGGCAGAAGCGGACTCCGCCCCCCCCCCGCCGGCGGGCCCCCCCCCCCCCCCCCCACCAATCTCAAAACTTTGTTCAGTTGTGGTTATCTGAAACTGCCTCCATTTGCTATAAGAGAAGCTTCTTTGATGAGAGATGGGAGCCACACTTATTTTTGAGTACAAGGATAAAATTTAGAATGTGTAACTACAATTATGTCTCTTCTTTTAAAATGTTCACTGCTTCTTGAGCTATCTGAGCTAGATGAAGCAGTCTGATGTAGTGAATGTGCTCTGAACTTGGCATTAGCAGATCCTGACTCTGCCTGTGTTGCTAGGCACTGCATGACAATGAGTAAATAACTCCCCCTGGAGGCTCGCACTGGCCACATCTACAAAATAAGTGGAAAAGGACCATATATTGGCTTCCCTTCATTTCTTTTTATTTAGAGAAAAATAGAGTTTCAAACACTAAAGTTTCTACAGAAAGAAGTATTATTGTTCCCAGTTATGTTCTTCACAAAGATAAAACTAATTTAGTGAGGTTAATAGCCTGAGCTGTAAAGCCAGACTGCACAGTTTGAGTCAGATCTTGCCAGCTGGTGCCCTTAGATGAGTGGCTGAACTTCACTGTTGCTTGGTATTTATCTAAAAATTGAACATGATGCTAATATCTAGGCTTTTTATCAGGTACAAATGAAGCCAGATGAAATAGGTGCCAAAGAACAGTTTGCTTGTTCTTTTTTCTTTCTTTTAGAGACAAGGTCTTAGTATGTGGCACTGGCTAGCCTGGAACTCAATATATAAACTAGACTGGATTTGAACTCACATAGATCATAGACCTGCCTGTCTCTGCGTCCCAAATAACTGAGATTAAAGATGTGCACTACCACATCCAATGGCAGATCAGTTTCCTAAATGACTTTGTTGCTGCAAATGACCCTGGTGACCTAAAGAAATAAACACAACCAAATTTGGAAAAATTTCCAAAAACGTCAAGGGTTGTATCAGACCTTAGCATCCTACTGCTAGATGCCTCCATTTCCCTCTTCATAAAATTCTATAGTTACTTTTACATTCAGCACTTGTATATGGCTTGCTAATAAAATTGTAACAAAATCCAAAGCTCCAAGGTCCCACATACTCAATAATTAGTTTTATGGAGAGAGATTATTTATGTTCCCACTGAACCTTATTCTTAGAGTTATCTTATTAAAACTTCAAAAATAATTAATTTATATATGTCTTAGTTAGGGTTTCTACTTATGTAATAACACACCATGACCAAAAAGCAAGTTAGGGAGGCAAGGGCTTATTTGGCTTATACTTCCATATCACTGTTCAAAGTCAGAACAGGAACT